CTGGAAGAAGGAATGTTTGAGGAGTCCTTTATAGATTCACTTTGTGAAGTTAAGTCCACTTCTTCAGACATTCTTGATAATTTGGTGGGTGTTGTGGAGATGGGTGAAGGTGGAGGACGTTTCTCTACAACAGGTAGTGGGGTGCTTCTACCAAGGGATGAGTCTGGGTCATCAATTGCATTGCATGAACATTCATTGCCTCTTGATGGGTCACAGTGACATGGATTACACTTGCAGATGTCAGCATGGGCTGTAATCTTCTCCAGAAGACCTCTATCATCACCATCCTACAAGAAAATATCAATAAGAAATAAGTAGAAATGTAAGGCATAAACAATCAAATACATTATTCAATGAATGTTGTTAATTTTTGCCGAATAATCCCTGAAGTCTGAGCCACTTCAATCAAGCAAAGAAGTAATTCCCCTTATAGCTAAGTCAACTTAAACCATTGGAACCAGATGCTTCAGGCTCATCCAAAATAAAGACACTAGGCTTATATGAGTGGACACTCTGCCGGGTGAGCGGCTTGAAGTCCGGGCGCAAACAAATATGCGTGTATAGTGACAAGACTGTGCCTTCCCTGTGCAATGTTACTCTTATCTTTTTTTGCATAAGCATTTCTAGCTTTTATACCATTTTCCAATGTCTATATTTATCATTTGATTTGCTTTATCTAGAAGGTAACAGACTCTTTTCCTTGCACATACTCCATATCATCTCTTTAGGCAGTCTATAAGTAAGTGAAAAAATAATAACAATAAGTAAAAATTTATCTTCTTTTTTTTCATAATATTCAGATTTCTTTAATACAACCTGTGCTGCAGGACAGGAATAGGATCCTATTCCAGTCATGGGTCATGGACATTACATTCCTCACATGAATATTGATGGAAATAATGCAAAAGCCCCCTCTTAATCTGAAATGAGTTAATCACCCTCCAAGAGGTTTATGCACTCATGGGAGTCTTTCCTGTCATCCTGGCCTTCAGCCAAAATGCTCACAACAACAAGTTCATGCATCCTGGCCCACAGCCAAATTTTCCCATGACATGATGGTCACCTCATCTGGAGTGTAGAGGTTAACAAATTATTAAGCAATGATCACATTAGTTGCTTATAACCAAGGATCTCTGAAAAGATCAAAGTGTCTACAATAACCTCCTGAGTGAAATACACATTGAAGATAGTTGTGGATTCTATGAATATCATCACATGTTAATTGAAAATTTCAAGAAAGAAGACAAATCTAGAAAAGCAATTCTCCCCATTTCATTAATTATCATACATCATGCAACCATGCCAATTACCCAATAACCTATATTGCAATAGTAATAGAAAATCTGAAAATGATCTTCCAGTAACATATGCCACTGTTAGTGTAACTAATGATGAACCAGAGATATAATCACAGATAGATAAAAACTAAAGTTGGGAGGAAGCAAAAACTATAACTGAAACTGAGTAAAATATTTTAAATTGTCACATGATAATATCCCACACTGAGCAAAGCTATGCTGATTCCATCCAATATTATATTTTTCAATTTTCTTTTATCATGATCTTTATGGCTGGTATTCCATAATTGTTCTCCGGCTTTCACTTTGTTTACCATGCAGTAAAAAATTTCTAAAGAGAGCCCTGTATATTCAGAATGTCAGCATGGACACATGTTTGTATTTGTTGATCTAATGAACTTTGTCTGTAACTGGGACTAAACAGCAATGCAGCAGTTCTAACTCAGTATTGGGTTACGCATAGATTTTCATTCTTCATGGCCTGGGAAGTATCCCTGTTTGTAAGGGGATCCTTGGATAGGCAACACTAAAGTGCCCTCTGCTTCAGCTTTTAAAATCTATAAGGAATTTCATCTCCTCCAATCTTCCCTTTGTAGCCCCTCCAAGTCTATCCCATCCTATCATCCTATCCCATATCCCCTCCTTTATGACCCACTTCACTCCCTTCATACAGTTGCCTCCTAGTGTGGCTGTGCTACTTGAGACAATGTGTTGTTTTTCACAATCTACTTAACCCACATACGACGGGTGTCACACATATGTAATATCCAGAAAAATAAACATTACCGGGCGTCCCGCTCGTGCGAAATTAGATCAGAGCTTGTGCTCTGATTCTGTCGCCCGTGGCGGGCACTGCACAGGCAGTTTCCCAGACTGACCTGTGAGTTGATTTTGAAGGCGCCCGGAAACCATTATTTTCGGCTTCAAAATGTACTGGCGCAATTGGGTTAACATATGCCTAAATACATGACTTATTACTATACAAATAATGATGAATATATATTTCTCTGCATCATATTTAGTTTAATATCACAATTTCTTTCACAAATAACAGGTAATCTTTTAAACTTTATCACTTCACTTTCCAGGAACTATTTGCTAAACCAATCGAGCTCTCTCTCTCCCCCCCCCCAAAAAAAAGTTTGTCCATTGTAAAAGTTTTGGTTTATTTGCTACCTACAGTATTTTGGGTATTACATGCTGTACTTGCTGCTTGCTACATCACCCTGACATTGTATTTGTACATGGCTTGATGCCTCTAAGAAAAGTATTTCATCCTGTTGGAGTGTATATACTTGACTGCTACATAGACACTTTTCAGTGACATACAAACCTGGGATAATGATGTCACTGTTTGAGAATCTCTAAGAAGACGACCAACTGTAGTGTCATCTGTAGCCTTGACAAAGGGCACCTGAAATTCAAATAAAACAAAAATCAGTGCATTGCCATTTTAGCTTTCTATTTCTAACTCTCTAGCTAGAGAGTGAAGTCTAGTTTCAGAATCAGTGATATGCCATTTGGATTGTCAAAGATATAACCATTTAGCATAACACATAGAAAAAAAAATTGTACATGTTTGGTATCACCATTATTAGCATTTTTCTCCTTACATGTGTGTGTGTGTGTATGTGTGGCTGCATATGTGCATGCGTTTTTGCACACACTCATTGGTGTGTGTATGTAATATCCACTGTTATGAACAGAACATTATCCCCTTATAAATTAAACATGTAGCATAATATAAAACAAGCAATAATTTGAATACATGTCATAACCAGTTTGATTTTAGTTTATCAAGTTTGTTTACACTTATATGGAACCACAACTACTTTGTACTTAATATTTAGTCACCAAGGAGTCAATTACTAGTCCCACCTAATTCATACATTCACCCTTTCCCTTGACTTTCAAAAAGATATAATAATATAATGATAATCATAATGTTAATAACAACAATAGTATCAATATGAATAGCATTAACAGGGCCAATGCACTCGAGAAGTTTGTTAATTATGACCAGATTTTGGCAATTTTTTAATGTTATGTATACCTATACATAACATTTAAAAAAATCACAAAATTTTATATTCTACTTATCCATTGACCTAACTTGTTGAGAAACTACCACATATGCTCTATAGCAATACCAAAATATTCAACAGATAGATTTTGACATTTCCTCTAGTTTAGTGGGATTTTTTTTTTTTTTTTTACGTTTAATCTTATGTATATAAAACATAATATATGGACTTCTATCACCTAAAATGAAAATCACTTCGTGCAATCACAAACTTATTTAGCTTTCAAATGATCCAAACCCCATTAAAATCACCCGAGTTGTTATGGAGAAATATAAAAAAATGTTGACAAAGGAGTAGTTTTGAGATATCAAAGCTTGAAGTTGAGGATACTTTTCCCTAGATTAGCCTTGTCATCACAGGCTTTGCAGTGCCTTTACAGTACCTTGTGAGGCATTTCATACGAATAAACAACTGCTGCAGCTGTGATTGTGAGATGTATTTCTCATCATAAGGTTTATCAGTTACAGGAATAACATCTATCATTAGTTCTGTCCACTTAGTGTGCAATGAGGGTACATCATGGGTACATCTATGTGATGGTGTTGAGGAAGCAGGCGATGCGCAGCCTCTCCCTCCGACTCTCTGGTGGTGACTGCAATTGTTCTCTCCTAGTCATGGCTATGAGCTGATACAGTTAGCAGAGTTGCCAGCTAGCTACAAGAGAATGTCAAAAGAAATCAAAAAAATTGAGAAAAGACAACTTAGTCAAGTATATTTGCACGAACACGATAAAGCAGCGATCTGAGCAGGAAGGGGGTGTCAGAGATTTAGTCATACTTCCTTATTTTTACTTATTATTCATTTATTTTATTTTTATTGTATTTTTGAAAAAAATCATCGAAAATGTAGTGCGACAGCCCCCTTTACCCCTTTAATCTGGATGACATGACCATCTTGTCATGAAAAAATTTGGTTTGAGGGGCAGGAAACATTAACATGCAGGCATAAGAATTCCACCTGAAGGCTGGGCTGACAAGAATAACTCACCATGAGTGCACAGAGCTCTTGGAGGGTGATTAGCTTCTGTGAGAATTTAGGAAGGGGCTTTTGCATTATTTCTATCAATAAATGAGTGTGGATTGTACTATCCGTAATCTCCAGGGAGGACAATATTTCCATGCTCAGGATCCAAATTCTGCAGGCTGTATTACAGAAAATTGAATGTAATAAAAAAGTTATAAAAATAACATAAATAACAAAGTGTTACTTTTTATTATCCTTGTACTGAGTTACCTAGTGAGATAATATGGAGCCTGTGCAAGGAAAAGTCTATTACCATCTGGATATAGCAAATATAAACATTGGAAAATGGCAAATCTAAAAAAATAAAAAATAAAAACTTAAGCAGAGAAAGATAAAATAGCATTGCAAGAGGAGGTATGGAGTCTTATCACCACACACAAGTGTTCATGTGTGCCCAGCCTAAAAGCCACATAACCGGCAGTGTAATGCCCATATTTTGGGCCACACGGTGGCAGAAAAGCATCCATATCCAATGGTTTAATAAAAAAACATTTTCCTGAAAATTCCAGGAATGGGGAAATCTAGTGAGGACTCATTAGGCCTACTAATTGACTCCTAAGTGGCTGAACACTTGTGAAGCTATTTGTGTGCAACATAAACAAAATTTCCAGCTAAATACAAAGAAAACAGGAATTATGTTTCACTAAATGGCTGCATATGACAGCATTCATCCTATCATGTGTATCATGTCTTAAATTACATATGCTTTCTAAACTAAATGGGGATCTTGCCTTCATGTTTGGGTTACACTTGAGGGCCTCAGACTTGAGGAAATCTTGAAGGGTGAGGCTGGTAGGACTCTCTCCCTCATCACTCCCCACCGGAATAATTGCAAACACTGTGAAGAGAACAGAATTTTTGATCAAAGATATCAAACAATAAAAACATTCAGTCAATGAATAACAGCTGAAGGCCTTTGACATAAGCAATCTGTAGATATGTATAATGGTTCTGGATACTGATCACACATCCACTCATTAACTTCTAAAAGTGATAAGTAAAATTTCTGAAAATTAACCCGTAGGTGACGGGGGCATGTATGTACATGCCATAACTGTTGTGGACCGAAAAATGCGCCACTGGCATCGTTGGACAGTTTGTTTTTCTCTGATAGTAGCGGCTTCTTTTATATGGTAAAGAGTTTAGGCAATGGCACCTATAATGAAGGTAAACCTTCAAAATTATAATATTTTTATGAATTATAGCAAAATAAAAGCTTTTAGGTGTCAAATGTCGCTTGCAAACTACCAATCGAGCCGGGCACAAATAGGGGAAACTGCCGTTACATGCCAACAATCCCATTCTCACATCCACTTGTCAAACATTTTTATCCATCGGCACTGTGTTAACCCACTAACAACGGGTGTCACACATATGAGACACCCGAAAAAATAAATATTGCCGGATGTCCCGCCAGTGAGATAACAGTATCTTTATCTTTTTTTAATTCAATCATTTTATGCAAATTACTTTCCTTATAAGACCTTGTATCTTCAAATACCTGCACCTTAAATAATGTCTATTTAATCATATCTTTTAGGAACTCTTCTCTAATTATTAATAAATTAACCAATTGGACCCGGATAACGTTGCAGTCATGTCATAGAAAAAATTGAGTCGAGGGGCAGGTGACGTGAACATGCTGTCAATTCGGCAAATTGGCTGCGGCCCGGGTGGTGCGAACTTGCCATCATGTGCGAAGGCCAGGGTGACAGAAAAGACTTGCCACGATTGCACAAACCTCTTGGAATGTGATTTGACTCATTTGGCGCTTAGAAGTGGGCTTTAGCATTATTCTTATTGATAAACAAATGTGCAATGTAACGTGCGAAGGCAGTGACTGGAAGAGTGCTGGTTCCAGGGAAGATGCCATTTCCACACTATGCATTGTATTCCTGGCCGCTGTGACCAGCGGTGCAGGTCATTATGTAAAATTGAAAATTATGAAAAAATGAGATATGTCACACGAATAACCAAATGTTTTTTTTTTTTTGCCTTGCACCTACCCAAGAAAATAAGGGAGGACATAATAGGATAATGGAGATAAAGCTAAAAAAGTTTCCACAAGATAAATTTACATAGGGGAGGCACAGAGTCTTGTCACCGCTCGTAGATGTTCTTGCTCACCCGGCCTACATGCTGCACGCCCGGGATGTAGGCTACTTACATAACCCATTGCCCGGGTTTTAGACACTGTGATTTCCATGACACAACCAGATCCAAAGGGTTAAAAACACATAAAAATAAGTAAAAACAAAGTGTATGCTTCTAACACACCTTTCTGCCTAGATGCTGGCGCTGAAGTGGTTTTCGCCTGTTTTTGGTGATGGCCTCCACAGCACCCACCCTTATTGGCCCCATCCTGTAGAACAACTTGTGGCTTGCTCCCACCATCTTCTATACCTAGTCCATTTTTTTGTATATTCTGAAAATAGTGTCTTTTAGGCTTACTTATTTAACTATGAGACTCATGTTAAAATGTATTTTAAGCCTTGGTGCTTCATTAATGATATTTTTCTAACAAATTATCATTACCATCAGTCAGTCAGTCAGTCAGTCAGTCAATCAGTCAGTCTCTCTCTCTCTCTCAACAGTAAGGAAAGTAAATGTAAAAACAGAGCTCATACTTCTCCTTGTGACAGAGTTTGTTCACTAGGATGGTCCAACATATCCTGAAGAGGTTTTGGCTGCAGCTTTTCCTGCTCCTTGCTCAAGTTTCGCCTGTGAACGCGCATGTGACTCTTGCGGGAATAAGGCCTTCCTGCAGTCCTCCTCTATACATAAGTATGGCCGTTCTCCTACATGGATACATTACATCTCATAAGTACTTGCATCTGCTTGGTTTAGGATATATTACATACATTTTTATTTCTGCAGTCACATCCCATACCCTTCTCTTGCCTGCTGTAAGACTCAGTTCTATCTTTTCAATATGATGATATACAGTAAATAAAATTAAAAGTCCAAGTTGCATTCTCCTGCTTTTTTTGTATTATTTGTTTACTAATGCCCTAACATATATTAGGCACACTATTTACTTCATGGTCATGCACAATCAGAAAGTTTACATTATCATACTTATATCTACAAGATTA